CTCCACCTCCGCACCCCAGGCATGCAGCGCCCGCCTTGCTGTCCCTGCGCCCCAGCCTGGTTGTGCCCTGGAAGAGAAAGGGGCGGGGTGGCCCAGCAGACCATCAGAACAAGGGGTCCTGGTGGAATTAGTGTATGGGAGGGGGTTCGCAAAATCCTACCAGTTTGTTCCAGACAGTGGCACATCAACTCTATAGGATGCTCCAATATATAGGGTCTGGCTGGGGTCCCAGTGTCCTGCGGGCTCACGGTCCCCAATGCTCCTGCAAGAGCACCTTTGCCCGATCCCCATGCAGTAGTGTTTGGCGCTGGCTTTTCCCAGCAGCCGGGTGGCCCCCGGGACGCGTGTGAGCCCCGTGGGGCTGGGGCCCCTCTGCTCCCTGCAGGCCTCAAGCACCGGCGTGAGGTGGCAGGGAAGAGTGCCATATTCAATGGGGAGCACTTTGTCCTGGAGGAGACCGACTGGTACCTGCTCAACCTCTTTCGGCTCTGGTGGCACTATGGCATCAGCTTCCTGCGCCTGCAAATGTGGGTGGAGGAGGTGATGGAGAAGTTCATGAGGTAGGAGAGCCTGTGGGGCTGGAAGGACACAGGGGGTCTTCCCCAGCCCCAAGGCATCACCAGGCACGCTGTGCTTCTGTCCCCTCCAGGATCTACAAGTACCAGGCGCATGGCTATGCCTTCTCCAGCTTGGAGGAGCTGCTGCGCTCACTGGGGGGTGATGCCTTCATCAACATGACGCAGCGCTCGGTGGCCGAGTCCTTGCTGGAGGTGGGCATCACACAGCGCTTCGTGGATGATGTCATTGCGGCCGTCCTGCGCTCCAGCTATGGGCAGTCAGTGCTGGTGCCTGCTTTCGCAGGTGAAACTCGGGACCCTTTCTCTCTCCTTCCCAGTGTCCCCTCCCTGGGCAGGCTGTTGAGCTGCCCTCTTCTTCTGCTCCCCAGGAGCCATGTCGCTGGCAGGGGCGCAGGGCAGCACCTGGGCAGTGGAAGGAGGCAACAAGCTTGTGTGTTCAGGTCTACTGAAGCTGACCAAAGCCAACGTCATCCCAGCCAGGGTGACGGGTGTCTCTCTGCACAGCTCGGGTGAGCCTGGGCATGGCGTCTGCTCTGGCTGCCACCGAGGCGGGAGGTGGGTGGTGGCACCATAGGGGTGCTGGGTCAGAGAGGGAGCCTTGGGAGGCTGGAGAGCATCTAGGTCCTGGTAAAGCATTTGGGCAAGGGCCTGGGGGTCTGTCCATCTTCCCTCATGTGATCTGGTGGGGGCCCTTTGGTACAGACCTTGGCCCTGGGGTTCCCCTCCCTCATTCTTGAGGTCCCTCGGGTCTCTTCTGTGGCACCATCCTTGTTGCAGGCTTGCTCCCTGGCCGAGCACAGCAGAAGGGAAGGGCTGGATAAATGGGGTTTGAGGGTGGGCTGTGCTGCCCCAGTCCACCTTGTGCTACTGGGCTGGGCTTCTCTGGAAACTCTCTCCCACAGGCTTGATAAAATGCTCTTTCTACTGCCCTAAAGCATCACCAACTCATCCATAACCATCAGATGCTATGGTCTAGCAATGATGTGTACTGGAAAACCAGGGGATGGAGGCTGTGCTGGAAAAAAGGGGGCCAGGGCCACTGCTTGGGTCTCAGCACTACTCCTAACTGTCCACCGTCTCTTTTTAGAAGGGAGAGCCCTGTACCAGGTGCACTATGAGGGCAGCGAAGGGCAGGGCTCGGCTTTCTACGACATGGTGGTCGTGACGACTCCCCTGCACCCCAGCAGGTGCAACTTCACCTTCGAGAACTTTGAGCCACCCATTGCTGACTTCCCTGGAGCCTTCCAGCCCTCTGTCACCTCCGTGGTGCATGGCTACCTCAACTCCTCCTACTTCGGCTTCCCTGACCCCAAGCTCTTCCCCTTCGCCAGCATCCTCACCACCGACACCCCCGACCTCTTCTTCAACGCCATGGACAACATCTGTCCTGTCAACATCTCAGCGGCTTTCCGTCGCAAGCAGCCCCAGGAGGCTGCGGTGTGGCGTGTCCTCTCCCAGCAGCCGCTGGACAAGCAGCAGCTGAAGACCCTCTTCAGGTCCTATTACTCGGTGCAGGTGACAGAGTGGCAAGTGTATCCCCGCTACGATGCCGCCAAGACCCTCCCGCCCATCGTGCTCCATGAAAACCTCTTCTACCTCAGTGGCGTGGAATGGGTGGCCAGCTCCATGGAGATGATAGCGGTGGCAGCCAAAAACGTGGCCCTGCTGGCTTACAACCGCTGGCATCAGGACCTGGACAAAATCGACCAGAAGGACTTGATGCACAAGGTGAAGACCGAGCTGTGATGCCCAGGGGAGGCAGTGGGCTGGGAGCTTCTGTGTAGTGGCCTGGGGAGTATTTATTGCCTTGGGGACACCAGGGGGGTGGGGGCTGGGGGAGAAGGGACAGGTGTGTCCCATATTACTTGAACATGATTTACCTTCAGGAATACAGTCCCTGCTCGGTGTTGCTGCGTGTCTGTGCCATGTGCCTGTTTCCCTGTTCCCCCTCCCCAGGCTCTACTGGAAGGAACCTGTGCCTTTTTCTGTGAAAAAAGGTCCCTGCACATCTGTTTTTTGGAGGGACCTCAGGGGACTTTCAAGGACGAGGCTGGCTGGTGGCTGTGTTTTGGGGGGCAGAAGAGCCCCTCGGGGAGAAGGCTAGGCAGCAACCACCCCGGGCGGGCAGTGAGGCAGGGGCCGGCTCAGACAGGGGCCAGCGATGCGCTTTATTGAAGACCTCAGAAGCCACCCGAAGCACCGTCAGCTTGCCCCGCTCCCCGGGCTGCCTCGCCCGGCACAAAGGAGCTTGTAGGTGCACCAGGGAGGGCTGGGGAGAGCTGGGTGCTCATGGAGCTGTTGCTCCGATGGAGCAAACAAAGGCAAACGAGGACTTCAGGGAGGGAGGAGGCCTGATCCTGCCCAACTGGAGGGACCAGTGGGCAGCTGCCTCCCTCTCTCCCCCAGCCCATTCTGCTGAGCTCCTCTCTGGAGGTGAGGGGACTTGGGGTGGTGTCTCGCTGCGAGGCCGGCTGTGGGACTGCGGAGCTGGGTGACTTGCAGGGGCGGCCCCCGTGCTGGGTGTCCCCAAAGTGGCTGCTTGAGCTGAGGCTGACGGAGTCTGCAGGGGAATTTCGGGGAGCTCTTGGAGCTGCTGTTACCTTGCGCAGGGACTCTCCTCACCCTGATGCTCAGCTGGGTGACCCTCTCCCAGAGGGCTGGGCAAGCTCGAGAAGCAACAGCAAGCTGGTTAGATGCCCATGCGTGGCTGCCGGGGCTAGCTCTGCAACCTCAGAAGATGCAGGTGCAGCCCACAGCGATGGTCTCCATGACCATCTGGTACTTCTTGTGACATTTCTTCCCGGAGGACTTGTGCCCCAACTCACCCGGCACCTGGCAGAGCAGCCGGCGGACAGGCAGCCGGCTGTAGATGGGAATGCTGGCCATGGTGCGGTCCTCCTGCATCGTGAAGGGGTTGATGCAGCCAGTGCAGAGGCATTGGGCCTCGGGAATGTCTGCTGGGATCCGCGTTGCATCATGGTTTATGCTGAAGGAGAGGGAAAGCAAGACGAGGATGGAGGATGGGAGGGTGGGAGGCAGTGGGTGGCTAGGCAATGCCTCCGTGGGGTGAAATGGGGTGCTGCATCACACTGCACCCCCCAGCAGCCACTGCAGCCCCATGATGCTGGAGCTGTGGCTGCCGCCGTGCCTGCCAGCACAGAGCCAGCCCACGTGTCCCTGAAGTCTCTGCCCCAAGCTCACCTGTATGCCCAGGGGGACAGGCTCCTCCGGTTGGACCTCCAGAGCCGCAGGTTGACCTGGCACTTGGTGTCTCCCAGCTCAGAGCTGTTCCTCAGCTGGCGCACCATGTCCTGGATGCTGCGCTCGTAGTCTGCCATGGAGGTGTAGGGGTCATCCAGGGCCCAGGCCAGGGCAGGGGTGGCCGTGGGGGGCCGTGCCAGGCCCCTTCTCCTCCCCTTCGCTGCCTTGCTTTGATCCTTTGCTTCAGGGACCAGGACCATGGCAAAGGTGAAGATGCAGAGGAGAAGCTGAGGAGGAAGGAGGATGGTGCGTGGGTGCCTGGACCACAGGGCTGGAAGGGGAGCTCTCCCGCCTCGCATAGGGCACCACATAATGGCAGGACCACACTGACTTCGGGGTGGCACATGCAATCCCCAAAGGGCAATGCTGGCCTGCAAGTGAGACCCGTGGAAGCGCACGAGGGCAGTTTGCAGGGGTGGTGGGCACACAGTCGTGGTGGGCACACAGTCATGGTGAGCCCCTAGCCCAAGCCCCAGCTGATGCCTGTGGCTGCAAAGCCCCTCTCCCAGGTTGCAGCTGGCAATCTGCGATGCCCAGAGTGCCCTGGCCCGTGCTGCCCAGGCTGTGCCCAGTCCCTTCCCCACACTGAAGCGGCTGCGTGCTGGGAGGGATGGGTACGCCCTCAGC